TTCATTGTTTGGTTTTGAAACCTCTTGGAGTGATCAGGCTATTTTCTGCAGCGTTAACCCCTCCAGTCACACATTTGTGTACAGTACCTTGCTCTCAGAGCCCTTTGTTGCTGTCTTCTTCCCTGTGCCCCCACCCTGACATCCACGGACGTGGCTTATTGTGCCCTATACGTGGTATGGTTTTCCCTCTGCCTCTCCACCAGGATCATGTCTCCTTGCCTCATGCTTTATGCCTGTTTAAACCTTTATGTGTAATGGGTTTTACAACCCTTTGTAAACTTACACATTTGTCCAAGGGGTATCTCTGCATAAACTTTTCAGCAAATGTCACTGTTAGGTATATGATGGTGCCTTGGTTCATGAACTTAATTTGTCCCATGTTCTGGAAAAGATGGCCGTGGGCCTGTTCGTCACCAGATGCAGAAATCACAATCAAAAACAAAATTTTGCTAAATACAAAACCTTTTGTGAACTTAGGTGCCACTGTATAATGCTGTTAAGAAATATATTTATTTATACTACGTGTTTAAAAATACAACCCGTGAGACCTGTGTTCCAGTGCTGTTTGTTATTACAAGAGGGCTGTATATTGTAGCCAGTCATACTTGTAGAGGAAACAACGGCTGATGTTTTGGGGTCTGTGCCACATATGGCAGGCACTATTTTTTTTTTTTTTTTTTTTGGCAGGCACTGTTTTAAGCACCTTACCTTTAATTTCCAACATTTCTACCCTCATAGGATGATGATAATGATGACCTCAAAATAAACCTTACTAAACTTCTATATTGTAAAATGTATATACAAAATGTATATATACACTAGAAAATCATATGTGACATACTACTGTATATAGATGTACATCTGTATGTACATGCAGAATACTTGGTTATTCTGTAGACATACAACTGGAGAATAGAATAACAGTTTTCAGTTTTTGTTATAGGATTAACCAAGCATGCAGAGCCCTTGACTTACCCTATAGTTACTTAACCCAGTTTCACTTTCTGCCTACCTCTCTCACGTCACATTTTGTGTTTCACCACCTTAATAAGCACAACTGTTCCCTTGCAGAGTTCTGGTGAGGATGACACACAGTGTTATAGAAGGCATTTGGATCAGAGAAAATTATCACACAAGCCAGTTGTATTAGTCAGGGTTTTCCTAGAGAAACAGATATAACACAGGAAATACAGATGTATAAGAAATTACAAGATGAGCTTACGATGATCAGCGACAGAGTTGGATAAGCAAGTGTGCAGAGGGTGTCTACACAGTGGAGGCTGAAGGATTCAGTCCAGGGTCTGCAGCTCACCGCAGTGTTCCCATGCAAGTCTGTACCAGGAGTCCAATGGGACTGCGACAGAAGGTTGAAGGGTCTAAGGCAAAAGCTAAAGGGTCTTCACTAGAAGCCAGAAGACAATGTTCAAGCTGAAAGTGAAGTCTGGAGCTCCTCCAAAGAACAGAATCCAGTCCGTCCTTCATTTCCTTTTTATACTGTCCGGGTGAAAAGCTGCCCTGGGTGGGTCCTCTACACCTAAGGTGCCAACAGCCAGCCTAGGCCAGGTCCCTAGGGTGTAGAAATTCTGAGCCAACTTAGTTAACCTTCAGAAAGTCTTAAGTTGACACAATCAGTCAACCACTACACCAGTGTTCCTTTCATGGGCTTGTCTCTGCCTTCATCCTTGGCTAAGTCTATCTCAATTGTTTAGTGAGTCCTGCCTCACAGATAGACCAAGTCTCTGGTATTCTTTCTAACCTCTGCATGCTACTCCACTTCTGGATAATGTCCCTGTATGGGGAGAAAGGGAAGAGATGTAATTGAATGGAGGAATAGGGACGGGAGATTGGGGAACCACCCTGTAACATTTTATTTCTTAAGCAGGGTGCTGAATATATGGATATTCTTTTAACCTAAATATTTGTATATATTTGACTTGAAATGCAACTTCAAGCAAACAGAAACCTCACATATTAATAATTACCACTGAGTCATTGCCCTTTGAAATGAACATCTTTTTTTCAGTGTTCTATGCAAGAACGTGGAACGTGGCACTCCTGTGGCACTTCTTTCCAGAAACTGAAAAGAGCCAGATGTGGCGGCATGTGCCTGTAATCCCAGGACTCAGGAGGCTGAGGCATGAGAATTGCCATGAGTTCAAGGCCAACCTGGGCTACAAGTTGAGTTGAGAGCCAACCTAAACTACATAGTAAAACCCTGTCCCAAAAAACCAGGATAACAAAAGCCAAAAAAGAGTTCAGTGAGGTAATTCTCTCAGAGTGAGTAGGGCTTCTTCACCCAGATAGAAGGTAGCAGGGATTCCTGCAGCAGATGAGGGAGCGGCAATGTGTGCATCCTGTTAGCTGCTGTTGGGTGTTTTTCTGAGCTGCTTCTGTATGGACTTGGGCAGTAACCAGAGCTACAGTGTATTTTTTAACATCTCAGCCAGAAGTCCTGCGAGCTGTCCCAGGCATCATGAATGTTTAATATGGTAATGATTGGAAAGCTGCTGAACACTGGACTGCTGTGACACTTCCTTCCTGGTTTTCCCTGTTTCATGAGCACCTATTCCTCCCAAATTTCCAAAGGGAATGCTTCTTTCTGAAAAGGAATTCACTGAATCTGAATCAACAAATACTCACTGAGCACTGGCTTTGTAAGTGTCGCTCCCTGGAAAATCTGTAGTGGTTTATGTTACATAAGGAATCCCTTCTCTCGTGGCCTGGTGGCAGGAAAAGATGTATACGTATACAGATGTGATAGGACATGGAAGATGCTACGGTAGGCATTCAAAGGATTATGGGCAAGGGAAGATTATGTCTTACTAAGGAAAGGCTCTGTAAAGAAAGAAGCAGTATTTGCATTAAGCCTTCAAGGGTATGACTTTAATAGATGCTTATTTGTTTGTTTATTCAGGAAATACTGTACATCTCCTGTGAGCCACCAGGCATACTCGTGTTCTCTGTATATCACAGCAGAGGAAGAGGGGCAGGTAGAGAGTTGAACATTGGCGTCTGAACTGCTTATACATGGAAGTGCCTCCATTTACACTGCTAATGCAAGCCATTTTCCACACCTTACTTTGAGTGTAGGGAAGTTTAATATTGCTTTCCATAACCTTAAAGAATTAGGAACCTGGATATCTATGATGAATGGTAATGACTGTCAGAGGAGTTGAAAGACCTGTTGCAAAGGTTAATAGGATCTCACTGGTGCTGTGTCATTAACAGAGCAAAAACAGCAACAGAGAGGTGAGAGACACCAGGCATGGTGGTGCACCCCTGAAATCCCAAAATTTAGGAGGCCAAGGCAGAAAGATCACTGAAAGGTCAAGGCCAGGCTGTGCTACGTAGTGAGACCTTGTCTCAAAAACAAAATAACAACAACAATAATTTTAAAGGAGGCCAGAGGCAAGAGATGATGTTGGGTAAAGTTGTTAGCTTGGGGATGTAAGAAGTTGTCAAATTAAGGATGTGTTTTAAAGTAGGGGCAAGAGGATTTGCCAGTGGGTTTGAATCTGGGTTATGACAAAGAAAATTAAGTAGAACCTGATGAATTTGACATGACAACTTTTAAGAGTGTTATTTGCTTTTGACTGAGATAAGGGACTGTGGAAAAACAGTTGTGAAGAAGATCAGGGTGTATTTTAGGTATGTGAAGGCTGAACATGGAGATACTGCATAGGCAGTTGGATGTACAAGCCTGTATTTTAGAGATCAGGACTAGAGAGATCAGTTTGTGAGTTGTCAGCTAATACAGAGTATTTAAAGCCTTAAGCCAGGCATAGTGGAGCACACCTGTAATCCCAGCACTTGGGAATTCAAGTTCAAGACTAGCCTGGGAGCATTGGCTCTGCTGGGAATTTTGTTTGTACTTAATGTCAATTTCTCACTATGTGAAGAAGCAAGACAAATGTAACTTCTGAGGACAAAAAGTTCCTTGAGACTCTTGAACATTGGCTACATGTGACTGAACTGACACAGATCTTAGGCCCTGGCCAGGAGAGGAAGACACCTTTACTGCTAGGGCTGGAGAAGATGTACCTTCGGAAGCTCGTGCCACCCTCAGAGGATTTTGTGTGGTTCCTATAAGGTAGAAGTTAGCCTCATTTTACAGATCTGAAAGCAAGAGCTCAGGGAGAAGAAAATCTTCCATAAATAAAACACTAATGCTTTTTACAGCTAGGGTAGTAATCATGGAATTAAGTAGACACAGTAGCAAGCTCATTGGTGGTGAAGCCAGACATGAAACATAGATCCATCTGATGTAAGCCAGCATATTTTGCACCAAGAGGTGGTCTGTGAAAAGTGTTCCGCAATTGCTGTTCCTCAGACCTAGGGATTAGACAGCATTTTTAAAAAATCAAGATTTCCCAAGCATGGTGATGCATACCTATAATCCCAGGCTGGGCTAATAGTGAGTTCAAGGCCAGTTTGAAGTACAAAGCAAGACCCTGTTTCTAAAAAAAAGAAAAGAAAAAAGAATATCAAGGTTAGTTACCGAGAAAGAAACATCCTAGAATACATGGGTTTTTGTTTTTTTTTTTTCATTCGAAGATTGATTTTCTAAGGAAAATTTTCTTGAGTTTCTTCATTGCTTGAAAATGTGATGAGAATTTGACCCTTCTATGTGTTGGTAGTTAGTAGAATACTTGGATATAGATGAGCAAAATGCTATAAAAGAGAAAGAAGAAATCTCACCTTAAGAAAATGAGAACAGTGAAGTATGGTGGTACACACCTGTAGTCCTGAACTCAGGAAACTCAAGCAGGAGGATCTCTGTGAGCTCAGGGCCAGCCTGGACTACCTAGTAAGTTCAAGACCAGTAGGAGGTGGGTAGGGATGAATGAGAACATCCCGTATATTACTAACTACCTTCTGGTTGTGTTCAATAAATATTTGATGTGGTTTCTCTCTCCTTTTGAGAGTTTCTAGAGATCACTTGTTCAAAATAACCCTTTCCTTGGAAAATAATAGCTCATATTCCTTTTCTTCTTTTTTAGACCATGTACAAAATGAAGAAAACTATGCACAAGTTCTTGATAAGTTTGGGAGTAATTTTTTAAGTCGAGACAACCCCGATCTTGGCACTGCTTTTGTCAAGTTTTCTACTCTTACAAAGGAACTTTCCACACTGCTGAAAAATCTGGTAAGCTATTCCATAATTAACAGAAGGATTGAAGTCTGTCCAACACATAAGATCATACCAGGGCCAATTGAAAATTACGGTGACTGTTTAAATTTTTAAAACATTACAGCAAAAGATACATTGCCAAAAACAATGGCATAAATGTGTTTGGAGAGGAAAGATTTTGAGGAGGTTAATGGCAATGTGTCTTTTACTGTAATTTTTTTTACTTAAACATTCGCTGTACTTTTTATCACACATCATTGATCGAATGTTTATGGCAATTTCTGGTGCCATGCAACTTCGAGCTCCCCACAAAGTCTTAATGACCATGAACGGTAAACATTTTAAAGTTATTCAGGGCATTGAGGCAGCCACTATGGACTACTAAAGACACAAAAGAGGGCTTCAGAAAGCAACAAGAATGCTGGGCTAAATGCGCAGAGCAAGGAGTGGAGAATATTAGTAGAGAGATTAATGCAATATGTCTTTCACTGTAGTTTTTACATTTTAAAAATTTAAATATTGGCCAATATACAACCCAAGGCCACCTAAGGTGGCCTGCAACTACCAGCAGTTAAGGGGGTGAGGAAAGAGTCTCTGAGGGTCTCAGAGGGAAATTGCGATGGTGACCCCTTGACTTCCAGCTTCCAGCCTCCACAACTGTGAAGGAATAACTTTGTACTGTTTTAGAAACAATGCAAAAGTATTTCAGTGCAACAAATAAACAAAAACATTCACTGTATTGTTTGACTACATCTCATAAAAAGAACAATTCACTACTTGAATTGTTATTTCACCCTTAGTTCTGGGGATGAAGAAAATAAAAATCTAAGTATGGAGGTCATGTTTTTAAACAAAATCCCATTGAAAAATTCCTAGGATCTGATTACAGCCTAGCTGACAGCAGGGTAGATTTTTTCAAGCTTAGAGAAACTACTCAACTAAAACTCGCTTTGATATCCTAACACTGATTTAAAAAAAAAAAAAAAAGACAATCTTGCTGGGCATGGTAGCACATACCTGTAACCCCAGCACTTAAGCAGGAGTGTAATCATGAGTTCAAGGCCAGCCTGAGCTACAGAGTGTAAGTAAGACCCTGTCTCAAAAAACAAACAGAAAAAGGGTAATCTTTAGTAAATTGGCTAAAGAGTAATCAGTTCTGTTTCAAACATACATTAGGCTACGCCTCATGTTCTTTTAACTCCCTCAGAAGTTTTGAGGTTTAGTGGACCTGTAGTTTTACAAGGTGATGGGAGGAAATTTATCTAACTTCAGGGCACTAGAGATTCTGACCCAAACAGTCAGTTACAATGACAGGGCAGGGGTCTTGTGCCAGGCAGTGATGTCTAAGCACTGCCATGTGGTGCTATAGCCCCTCCCCAGCCCACACACTCCTTTCCCACATGGAAAGGTTCATGCTGTGTAGCACCCAGACAGTATGGATTGGTTGATTATGTTGATGAAAATATCTAAGAACCCTCACCTTCCTTCTTGGTACATTAATTTAGTCAGGTCTGTTTTGTGCTAAAGAGATAGGGGTCAAGGAGGTCAGAAGGTGCCAGAAGAAAATGATTTCTATTATTCCACTCCTCAGCCCACCATGGAGAAGGGATATTCCCCCCCCCAACACACACGCACGCACGCACGCACGCACGCACACACACACAGTCTCCAGCACTGCATTTTTATCACCTCAGAAGATCCAGATCTTAAGCTCAAAATGTTCTTATCCTGGTTTAGACACTCACAATATTAGGTAGGCTTCTGTGGCCTAAGGTGATCATCTTGTAATCCATTTGATACAGCTCACAGGTGCAGACAGCTTAGCTGAAAAGTGACATCTACCTTTCTACAGTCTGTTAACCTGAATATTTAACCAGTCAGAATATTCTTTTTCTTGTGCTAGGTAAATTGTGTGTGTGTGTGTGTGTGCGCACGCACACGTGCATATGTATGTGTGTCTATATTCCTGGACGTTTCAATTCTTATTGTTGGTTTATGGCATCGATTTAGTCTTGCACATTAAATCAGCTAATCTGAAAGAAAAGAACTGTCAAATATATACATATTTCTTCTTTTCAAAAATGCGAGAAGGGATAATTTTGAACATAGGGTCTAATGTCTCTGTTTTGGGGCTTAACAGTCCATGGTATTTGAGTAAATCTTGGACTGTTTGCTTCTCTTTTATTCAGAAGAGGCCTTGACATTTCCTCTTCTGTCCTCCCTTTTTGCTGGTGGTGCTGCCCAAAGGGTAGGTGTCAAGAAAAGAAATGAAACAAAACTCTGACAGTCCACCTTGGTAATAACTGGTAAGACTCATGCAGGGAAATTCTGTTTTCCCTGAGGTGGGCATTTTCACAGGGCTTTTCGGCCCTTTTCATTGCAGACATTCCTTGTCGGTGCATGCTTAGTACACCTATTTGCTTATCTCCATACAAAAGTAAATGATTTTTTGTTTTCTTTTTTGGGGAGACAGGTCCGTGTTATGTAGTTCAGGCTGGCCTTGACTCGTAGCAACCCTCCTGCCTCAGTCTCCTGAGTGCTGGCATTAGAGGCATACACTAACACAGCTGTGAATACAACTGATATTTATTGAATACCTTTGCTGAACCCAGCAGTGTGATGGGTGCTTTATGTGGATGAATTTGACACATTATAAAAATTCTTTACTATTAATACCCTTAGTCCAGACGAAGACACTGGCACATAAGTACTTTGTTCATTTGCTCTGCTGTTGAGTAGCCTGGAACCCAGCATGCTGTCCTGATTCTGTGAGCACTCCATGTATGTGTGCTGCCTCAGGCCTCAGGTTAGTATTTCCCGAGATAAAGGAGTGCTGGCCCTAGCTCTTCCATTGGGCACACCTCAAGCTGCAGTTGTTTCCGACGTCCAGGCCCCTCTGCAGAGAAGGAAGTCTTTGGAAGATATAAAGGAAATTGCTGAGAGGGCTCTTTCATTAAGAAAACACAAGCAGCTTTCCTGTAAAGGTGGCAGTGCCATTCCTGATGAGGAAGCAGGTAGGAGAATCAGAGTTTGCACTACAGGTTGGTAACTAAGGGAACGTTACTCTGACTGAATCAGAGGTAGTCCTGGGAGTTTGTACCACCTGACCACAGCCAACAGCTTGCTGCTTTGCTTCTTATGCTTTCCCAGGAAACCATAAACTGCAGGGGTTGATAGGGCACATCTACGAGTGGAGCACTCAGAGGCAGCTATAGATGGGGTTCCACAGCTGAAGAGATGGTTGGGGGAGCAAACCACCCTGTCAGAGGCCTGGAGAACTTCTGTGGGAACTAGTGTTCCTCAGAGGATTTCTCACCTACTTTCTCAGGCGAGTGAAGGCTGGAAACAGTGAGCAGTGACTGATGGATGAAATGCAGAGTGGGAGGTCAGAAATAGCACGAGTCGTTTAGACTTGAGAGCTATCCTTAGTTCAGCTGGCACACACCAAGTGTCTGTCATGTTCCAGGGTCTGTGCTAAATACCGAAAGATCTCATACTGTAACTAAGGTATTTCAGAGGGTAATTTAATAGTTTATCAATCGTTTTCGTGACGGAAAGGAAAGGATGCATTGGAGGGCCACATCTTATACTAGCTTTCTGCTTTTGACTCACCCTAAATAAGGAAAATCCTTTATTATTTAGGTCAGTTATAAGCAATTACAAGTGTACTGTGTTCAGGAGTTTGTGCCGAGGTGGTTCTGGAAAATATCAGCATGCTAAGGGATGGTGACTGTCATAGCCACCATTCCGTGTTTGTGGCTTTTCCTTTTTTTTTTCCTCTCTCAACTTTCAGTGATTGTGAAAGGTATGGTGATTATTAAGCTATTATGTGAAGCTGGGTGTGTTGGTGCATGCCTGTAAGCCCCAGAAGGCTGAGGCAGGAGGATTGTTGTGAGTTTGAGACCAGCCTGAGCTACAAAGTGAGCTCAAGGCCAGCCTGAACTGCGCATTCAGACCTTGTCTCAAAAAGACAAAAAGAAAAAAAAGGATATTATGTGAATACTACTAAGAGCTACAGTGATGGTTGGTGTTGATGTCATGGGGCTGAGGCTGTTGTTAATTGACCAGCTTCTAAGTTAAGGATGCCTGAGGGTAAAAGAGGATTGCAGTTACAGCTGCTCCTCTGCACTCACACCACAGGTAATGGGTGAAGTTGGCTTAAAGTAAGTTGCTTTCTTATTCCCCTTTTCCTCTAAGTTATAGAAAATGGTTCTTGTAAAAAGTTGTCCTATCTTGTAATATATGATTCAGGAGCTATGAAGTGTAGGTGATGGGAGGAATAGGGCTTTTGGTCCCAAGCAGACCTGGAATTCCAGCTCCTTGCTTATTAGCTTTACAGCCTTAGGCAGATCACTTTATTGCTTTAATACTAATTTCCTTATCTGTGAAGAGAACTAATAGTAGTGTGTATTTCTTGGTAATGGCAGGACTTTACTGAGATCACAGAAGTAAATCACTAAGCACAGTATCTGACACATGGAATTTGCCTAACAAACAAAAGCTTGCATTATTTACATATTCTCTCATTTGATGCTGAGGTAACTCCCAGTGTAAAGGCAGGTATCGTGGCCATATCCCATTTTACAGATAAATTTAGCAAACTTCCAGAAAAGAGTATGTCTGGGCAGAGATGGAATTAGAGCTTGAGCTCACAATTTCTGACTGCAGGCCACACGCTGTTTCAGCAGCGCTGCCCCACAAATTACAAAATACTGACACTGACTCAGTGGCCCAGCTGACTTGATGACGGGGAGTTGTACTAAAACCACTTGTGTGTTCAGTTTGCTAACTTGTTTTGGTCTGTTTTTCTCTTTTGGTTTCCCTCATCAGAATCACTGCACACTAAAAAAAAGAGTTTATGGAAGTAGTTCTCTAACTTCTGGTTCTTAGGGCCCCAGTTTTAAAAATGAGCTTCTGTTTATGTTGACTACTTCTGTCCATATTTTACTTCCATAAAAGTTAGAACACAGGAATTTTTAAGGTATTAATTTACTTTAAAATAATACACTTATTTT